TAAAGACTGACAGCCTTGGAAACCCTCTGGGGCAGTTCCACTCTGTCCTCTAGGGGCGCTGTGAGTCAGAATGGACTCCACAGCAGTGGGTGTGGTTTGGGCTTTGCTTCTGTAAAGACTGACAGCCTTGGAAACCCTCTGGGGCAGTTCCACTCTGTCCTCTAGGGGCGCTGTGAGTCAGAATGGACTCCAAAGCAGTGGGTGTGGTTTGGGCTTTGCTTCTGTAAAGACTGACAGCCTAGGAAACCCTCTGGTGCAGTTACACTCAGTCCTCTGGGGCGCTGTGAATAGGGTCTCTGAGGCGGCCCGGTGGCACAGTGCCTAAGGCATTTGACTCCTAACCAGAAGGTTGGCAGTTCAAAGCCACCAGCCACTCCATGGAAGAAAAATGGGGCAATCTACTTCTGTAAAGATTTGCCAACTTGGAAACCCAATGGGGGTCTCTATGAGTCGGAATTGACTCAATGGTAGTAGGGCTTTTTTTTAGAAGATCTCTGAGGGATGCAAATAATTAAGAGCTCAACTGCTAACCAAAAAGCTGACATTTTGAGTCCATGCAGAGGTGCCTCAGAGGAAAGACCTGGCGATCTAAGTTCAAAATACCAGCCATTGCAAACCCTGCTCTGACATACATGGGGTCACCATGAGTTGAATGAACTCAACCTTGATGGCAACTGGGTTAACTGGTTCAAGGTGGCTACAGCTCCTCCCGAGAGCCAGAAGTCAGGGCAAGTGACTTTTTGTCTGTCTTCCAACTGTCCCTTGGATAAGAGAGCCTTCACCCTGACACACTGGTGAGCAGAAACACACGGCAGCAGCAGCAGCAAGAAGAAACAATGTGGAAAAATCTGGTAAGCTATAACTCAAAGCAAACATGATATAGCTTCATGGTCTTTGAAAGGGAAATAAAAATGAGTAGGTTTAGGTTCTCAGGGGAGAGCCAGGAATGCTTTCAGGTTTTACAGGAACATGGTCTTTTCTTGCCAGGTGCTTGATGCTTAAGACAAACATCTTTTTCCTCTTACTTGCGGCTGCTGTAGCTGTGTTTGGTGTGTCACCTAAGCCTGTGGACTTGAACGCTTCATAGGAAGGGGTTCAAACTGTAATTGGCACAGAAGGAGGAAATTTCAAATTAAATGCTGATACTGTCTACAAAATAAAAGCACTAATTGAAAAAAGGAACCTAAGAGAGTACACCTTTTTACTGCTGCAAGAGCCGTTTCTTGGCCGGCCTTACCCTTAAGATTAAAAGAAAACCAACACACACTTTTAAAAAAACACACTTGTGTGCTTCAGATGTACTTGCTAGTGGTGGCGAGTTTAAACTTAAGATGAATGTAATAGGTGGCTTCCAATATGAGATTGGCCTTAAGGCTCTGTGGTCACCTTTAAAACGTGACTTTTAATTACCCCTTTTCTGTAATAATAGATACTTTTTTCTTCTAGAGAATAACTCTTCCATGAAATCATGAAGCCATTGTCTCTTGCCAGTTTTGATTTCAAGACTGCTAAAAGTTCTGGAGAAACGGATCAGTGAACTAAAATATTTTAGTCAGTGAACAGGAAAAGTAATGTGCAAGAATTCATGGCACATGTTTTCTTGAGATTAGCATCAAGTTTATTCATTGTATGTTGTTATAAGGAGGCCTGGTGGTGCAATGGTTGCGAACCAAAAGATCAGCAGCACTCCACAGGAGAAAAGACCTAGTGATCTGTTCCTGTAAAGATTACTGCATAAAGAACCCTCTGGGGCAGTTCCACTCTGTCCTCTAGGGGCGCTGTGAGTCAGAATTGACTCCATGGCAGTGGGTGTGGTTTGGGCTTTGCTTCTGTGAAGATTGACAG